CTAGTGCAGTGAAGCACCCAGGTGGAGCTGCCTTGGGCAGGTAGGTTGTGTTGAGTTTATCCGCAAGGCCAGCCCCAGCAGGTTTTTGCTCTCGTGCAGTGAAGCACCCAGGCGAGCTGCCTTGGGCAGTAGGTTGTGTTGGGTTTATCCGCAAGGCCAGCACCGGCAGGTTTATGCTCTCGGGCAGCGAAGCACCCAGGCGGAGCTGCCTTGGGCCGGTAGTTTGTGTTACGTTTATCCACAAGGCCAGCCCCAGCGGGTTTTGCTCTCGTGCAGCGAAGCACCCAGGCGGAGCTGCCTTGGGCAGGTAGTTTGTGTTGGGTTTATCCGCAAGGCCAGCCCCAGCAGGTTTTTGCTCTCGCACAGTGAAGCACCCAGGCGGAGCTGCCTTGGGCAGGTAGTTTGTGTTGGGTTTATCCGCAAGGCCAGCCCCGCAGGTTTTTGCTCTCGCGCAGCGAAGCACCCAGGCGGAGCTGCTTTGGGTTGGTAGGTTGTGTTGCGTTTATCCGCAAGGCCAGCACCAGGGGTTTTGCTCTCGCGCAGTGAAGCACCCAGGCGGAGCTGCCTTGGGCAGGTAGTTTGTGTTGGGTTTATCCGCAAGGCCAGCCCCAGCAGGTTTTTGCTCTCGCGCAGTGAAGCACCCAGGCGGAGCTGCCTTGGGCAGGTAGTTTGTGTTGGGTTTATCCGCAAGGCCAGCCCCAGCAGGTTTTTGCTCTCGCACAGTGAAGCACCCAGGCGGAGCTGCCTTGGGCAGGTAGGTTGTGTTGGGTTTATCCGCAAGGCCAGCCCCAGCAGGTTTTTGCTCTCGCACAGTGAAGCACCCAGGCGGAGCTGCCTTGGGCAGGTAGTTTGTGTTGGGTTTATCCGCAAGGCCAGCCCCGCAGGTTTTTGCTCTCGTGCAGTGAAGCACCCAGGCGGAGCTGCCTTGGGCCGGTAGTTTGTGTTGCGTTTATCCGCAAGGCCAGCCCCAGCAGGTTTGCTCTCGCACAGTGAAGCACCCAGGCGGAGCTGCCT